CCTTTGCAAACAATTTATATTTAGATATTTAGACAACCAAAATGTAAATATATATAAATACTGTATAATAAATAAATAGCATATTGATAGGGGGAGGGATTATGCCTGTGGTTGTCAGAGGCTTGTAATGCCTCATGGGACTTGTAGTTCCACCACAGCTGGAGGGCCGAGGATGCCTACCCCTGACCTAAATACCACACTAAACCTTTGACACAGACATTTTTATTACTGTATTATTACTTTAAAAAGCCAATATAATGTACATGAAAGGTAGCAGGGGCGTAACTAGAAAAAAATCACAGGGCCCCATAGCAAAATTTTCTATGGGGCCCTGTGATTTCTAGTTACGCCCCTTGCAGAGCCCACCTGATATGCCAAACAGCCCACCTGAGAGTGACCCTGCAGAGCCCACCATAGACTCTCTATGTTGGGCTCTGCAGGGTCTCAGGTGGGCTGGTCATGCCCCTGCACACCTCTTACCTGTCAGCCCGCGGTCGCCGGCGGGCCCCACCTCCTCCTCCGCTATCGACGCTGGGCTCGCCTGCCGACGCCGGGCCCCGGCCTCCTCCTCGCCCATATGCACGCATGTACATATGTATAAACGCAGGAGAACCCGATCTGGAAAGCATAATTTATACTTTTCAGATCATTTCTCCTGTATTTAGATACACCAAACACAGGGGGCTTGTGATTGATACTTTCGTTGCTTTACACCAAGGGGAGCACCATCCAGCTGTGGTGAAACTACAAATCTCATTATGCCTTGATCTCTGCAAGTCATGCCTGTGGCTGTCTGAGTTATGCAATGCTTAATAGGATTTGTAGTTCCACCACAGCTGGTGGAGAACCAAAGCTTGGCTATCCCCGCTTTACACCTGTACATGTTCTTATTGGGAAGCATTAACAAAGAGCGGCCTATTCTTCTAAACCAGGGATAGGCAACCTTAGCACTCCAGCTGCAGTGAAACTACAAATCACATAATGCCTCTGCCTCTGGGAGCCATGCCTGTGGCTGTCAGAGTCTTGCAATGCTCATGGGACTTGTAGTTTCCAAACAGCTGGAGTGCCAAGGTTGCCTAACCGTGTTCCAAACTGAGAAAATGGAGCAGATCCCACTGCTAATGAGCAAAGGAGGGATCTGCTCCATTTTCTATGCTGTGGCCCTCTTCACTGATTCCCCCTGAGGTTCAGACTGGCAGACAGCTCACATCCCGTACGCCAGGTCCAACCTTGCAAGGATCTTCAGTAGTTCTCTATATGGATCCTTTTTGGTAATTAGGCATGAAACCTGTGCCGGTCTCTTGCTGTGAATTAGAAACTGGTGGGGGTGGCACAGATAGACTCCAAGCAGTGTATTGTTGCGTGCGCCACGTGCCCCGTTGCAGTGGTGCAGGAAGCAATGCTAATTCTATTAGACAACCAAACTTCGCCCTCAGTTCCGCTTTAAGCCGGGCCTGGCAGAGGTTCGGAGGATGCATTGGCCCGGCTTACAAAGCCGATGGAGGTCTGAGGAAGGGAGGCGCGGAGGTGTGAAACAGGACGCCGTTTAGCTTTAACAGTCCACTAACACTTCGGAGAGACACGTATTTGTGTTTCTTTGCTAATGGCTCGGAGTGCCTCCGGGGATGTCCGTTCCCCTCGTATCCCACCGCTATCCCGGTACAAAAAGTGCTCGTGGGGTCTTCAAGCCTAACGAGAAGCGACAAGGCCTTCTCAATATTTCATCCCTTTTTCCCACATCTTCGCCATCAGCCCAGCCGTGCGTGTGGATCGCCGATGAATTATTTGTGGCGCGGATATTTATATACACAGAAGAAAGTAATTCCTTCGCTTTACATGGATTGCGACACGCCTGGGATCTCGGCCTGGGTCTTCTTAGGACCTGAGGACATGCTGCTTGCCTATTGTGTAATGGCTAAAGAAGCACTCCGCTAAGGGAAGAGTAACACTCTGTCTGTGAATTTGCATACTTTTATGGTGCGCACATGCAAAGATTTGAATTCTTGTACCTGTGTGTGCTCACTCTTCCTCGTTGGTTAAAGAAGAGCAGGTCTCTCACAATGCCATAGGAGAGTCCCTTGGTTTGTACTGTCATTTACCATGATGCAGTGTAGGAGGTGGCCATAGACACACAGGGTTATTCCAACATCTGGATCAGGTGAGCCGAAGTTCTGGCAGTGAGTGAATAGCCGAATGCCGCCGAGCGGCTCATCACTGTCCAAGCACATGCTCAGTGGGCGGGGAGCGATCAGAGGGATGGCTCACCACTGTCCAATCACATGCTCAGTGGGCATGGAGCGATTAGAGGGATGACTCACCACTGTCCAAGCACATGCTCAGTGGGCAGGGAGCAATCCGAGGGATGACTCACCACTGTCCAAGCACATGCTCAGTGGGCAGGGAGCGATCCGAGGGATGGCTCACCACTGTCCAATCACATGCTCAGTGGGCAGGGAGCGATCCGAGGGATGGCTCACCACTGTCCAATCACATGCTCAGTGGGCGGGGAGTGATGCGAGGGATGGGTCACCACTGTCCAATCACATGCTCAGTGGGCAGGGACCGATCCGAGGAATGGAGGAATGGCTCACCACTGTCCAATCACATGCTCAGTGGGCAGGGACCGATCCGAGGGATGGCTCATCCCTGTCCACGCACATGCTCAGTGGGCAGGGACCGATCCGAGGGATGGCTCACCACTGTCCAATCACATACCCAGTGGGCGGGGAGCGATCCGAGGGATGGCTCACCACTGTCCAATCACATGCCCAGTGGGCGGGGAGCGATCCGAGGGATGGCTCATCCCTGTCCACGCACATGCTCAGTGGGCAGTGAGCGATCCGAGAGATGGCTCACCACTGTCCAATCACATGCCCAGTGGGCGGGGAGCGATCCGAGAGATGGCTCATCCCTGTCCACGCACATGCTCAGTGGGCAGTGAGCGATCCGAGAGATGGCTCACCACTGTCCAATCACATGCCCAGTGGGCGGGGATCGATCAGAGGGATGGCTCATCACTGTCCAATCACATGCTTGGTGGGCAGGGAGGTGACCAGACTCTATTGCTAAACTGCAGTAGATAAAAGTGTGGTCACCAGTCTGGCTCTGCTCTCTAATAGGACTGTGTCTATATCAGGATTGGCTGGACTGGAATACACATCCTCAGCTCCTATATACAGTATTGTGTTCTACATATATCTGTTTCGGGTTTTTTCCTGGAGTTCAGCTTTAAACTCATCAAACATACTTTTTTTTTTTCCGGCACACAGAAGGTGCACAGAGGGACTGAAACAAGTTGGGATACGTGGCTGGTGTTCAGCCGAGGCAGGTATACTATGAGCTGAGGTGGAGTCTGGGGAGTGGGGGTGGGGAAGGTGATGGATAGGGGAGACATGTTTGGGCCGGCAGCCGCTGGAATCGTGAGGAAGGAGAAACGGCGAAGGTCTTGGCTCTCCCTCCAATCACTTTGCACAGGAAGGTTGGTAAACAGACTCGATAAAGAGGATTAATGTAAAGAATGTATTCTAAAGAGCTGCCAGAGTCTGAAAAAACAACAAATTCTGCTCTGCCTGCCATCAAACGGTGAAAGGAGAAGAGCCCCAACCAGGAGCAGCCCGAAAAGAAACATTCTGCCCCCATCCGCCACAAACAGATACCGCCCGAAAATGACAGTCACCAGAATATGTTGTAACTTGAAGAAATAAAAGATAAAATCTTCTGACTACGAGGCGGCTATAGGGCACAGGTGCTGGCCAAGAAAACATGCACAGCGACTTCGCTCAGTGGCCAGAAAAACAGAAACCCACCGATGGCCCTAATGAGTGGTCGTGGTTATTGAATCGGCAAAAAACAAAAATAATCCGCAATTCAGGAATAAATCTGTTCTCCTATCACGTCTGATTACAGCTGTTACATGTTGTGGCCATGTTATTACCTTCAAGTTACATACAAGTACACAGGGGGGTGTGGCCCGCACCTGGGTGACACCATTAGAGGGGTGACACCAAAAGGACTGACTCCTTTTGGCGTCACCCCCGCTCTGAAAAGTCGGGCACTTCGTCAAAGACCGAGAGCCCAACAGTTGCTCGAGAGAGAGAGGAGGGGACCCGGCGGCATACCTTATCCCGCCGGGTGACACCCCCTCCTCTCTCTGCCGGCATCCATCACCAAGATGGCCGCCAGGAGGTAACAGTGGTACCACGCATGACGTCATCAGACGCGTGCGCGATGACGTCATGCACGTACGAGATGACGTCACTGTTAAAGTGACCTTGCAGATATCAGTGTGACATTCACCTCTCAGTTGAGAGAAGAACATACTGAGGTTCATCACAAAAACATTATTGTCACACCGTAGATTATGGCGGTCCAGTTGAAACAAAGTATGCCTCCCACTGATTTACAGTGATCTTATAGAAGGGTGGGATGCAATTATTCCGGATGTCTGGCTTAGGTAGGGTTGCCACCTTTTCTTCAAGCGAAACCCGAACACTCTAGAGCAGGGGTAGCAAACCTCCAGCCCTGCAGCTGCAGTGAAACTACAAATCCCATGATGCATCTATCTTCGAGAGTCATGTCTGTGGCTGTGAGAATCTTGCAATGCCTCATGGGATTTGTAGTTCCACCACAGCTGGAGGGCCGGAGGTTTGCTACACCTGCTCTAGAGACATACTGACATTTTTTTGGGAGAATGAGTCGCAGCTTATTCATATGTACATATCACAATTGAGACTATTTTCAGTGGGGGGAGGGGGGCAGTAGCCCCTATCTTAATTTTGGTTGCCCCTGTCTGCCTGACCTCTTGTGTCCGGGTTTCTGCTGCCATGAAACCCGAACACAGCTTTCAAAACCCGGACTGTCCGGGTGAATCCTGGACAGGTGGCAACCCTAGGCTTAGGTGATAAGGTAATTGGTATGTTATATATACAGAATATATTTGAATATAGACTGCTCTATGTTTGCCATTCTTTTCAGCCTGATCCATTTCTTGTTCTCTGCAGGATTCAGGGAGAGCGCCTACGCCTACGCCATTGCCGCAGCTGGAGTGGTCCACGCAGTGTCCAACGCTTGTGCCATGGGCAAGCTGAAGTCATGCAGTTGTGATGAGAAGAGGAGAGGGGATGAAGATGCATTCAGGGCTAAGCTGCACAGGCTGCAGATGGAAGCTATGAATCGTGGCAAGGGGATGGTTCACGGTGTAATGGAGAATATGCCAGCTGAGGCCCCGGGGCCACAGGACTCCTGGGAATGGGGAGGCTGCAGCCCCGATGTGGAATACGGGGAGAAGTTTTCCAAAGAGTTATTAGATTCCCGGTAACTTTACAGGGACATACATGCCCGCATGAGGCTTCATAATAACAGAGTGGGAAGGCAGGTGAGTGCACACAACTTTTTCTTATGTCTGATGCACAGTTGCCATTGGCCAAATTTGCACAAGTCCTCCTAGAGCAGTGGTTCTCAACCTGTGTAATCTCATGACCGACATTTTGTCCTCAGACATTAAGTCGTGAGCCAAGTCGCACTGCAATGGAACGCACGGCATTGCGGTACAGGGTATTCGTGGTGCAGGCGATTGGACTATGGGCGGGAGTTGCGTTTGGGACATCATTCATATTCATGGCAACACAACGCACCTTCCACACCAGAACGCGCAGTAGGTGCGATTTGCGTGGGAATGTGCAATTAACGCACCGTACTCGTGTGAACGGACCCTCAAGAACACACACACACCAAAAAATCCCCCCCAGTCTCCCCACCTTACAAGAACTGGAGTGGATCCTGAGCCGGGGGTCCAGTGTGGGCTGCGGTGCTGTGACGGAGCTCCATCCATATTTGCATTGCATGTACAGCTCCCTCGTGCACCCTGTAGAGGTGTCGGGAGCCAGAATGTGACATGAGTCCAGTCCAGGCACTTCTACGGGGCCCATGTGGGAGCTCTATGCAATGTACATAGGATTGGAGCTCCCTTATGTGCATACTTCCAGCCCACCCCAAGTTGGCACACAGGGCCGGGCAGCATATTGTGAATGGCTACTCAGCGTGAGAACTGACAGTGCTGCGCTGGGTGGAGGCTGAGGAGTCTCTCACCTAGAAAAGTGGAAGGCATACGGCGACCCACTGAACATGGGGTCACGACCCACTTTTGGGTCACGACCCACCAGTTGAGAAGCAAGGTCCTAGAGGTATCCAAAAAGGCTACACATACCTTGGCCATAGGGTTGCCACCTGTCCAGGATTCACCCGGACAGTCCGGGTTTTGAATGCTGTGTCCGGGTTTCATGGCAGCAGAAACACGGACACAAGATGTCAGGCAGACAGGGGCAACCAAAATTAAGATAGGGGCTACTGGCCCCCCCACTAAAAACAGTCTCAACTGTGATATTTACATATGAATGGGTGGTGCTAGTTACATATGAATAAGATGCGGCTCATTCTCCCCCCAAAAAATGTCCGCTCATCGCTAGAGTGTTCGGGTTTCGCTTGAAGAAAAGGTGGCAACCCTACTTGGCCAAGAGAGTAAGAGTGGTCAGCCAACATCTGACATCTTCTTCAATCTCCTGGGAACTCTGTTGGTGAGATCTTTTTGCTGAGTTCCTGGATCTGCACACCTACTGTGCCCATTATGAAGTGTTCCCACCATCGCTGCTGGATCACACAGAGGTGCACAGGAACGACTCTTGGGAGTACAGGAACAAAGTCCGGAATTATGGCAGGAAGATCTCACTGTTGGTGTATGCAAGAGAAATAAAAAGTCAGGCGCTGACTCAACCCACTAGACTCCACCTATGTTTGTGTTGGGTGACCTGACCTTTTAATGCCAATGGCAGAGATATGGGGTGATGTTGCAGGACTAGAGGCAAGGCTCGATTTCCCAAAAGGCCACCGCGGCAGGGAGCAGAGGGGCGGCACACCGCAGGGCGGGTCGTTTTTTTTCTACATTTAGCCCTGCTTTGGGCAAGCAGGGCTAAATGTAGAGCGGGGAAGCCAGCGCTTGTTTAGAACAAGTGATCCCGTCGATAATACTGGTCCGCCCCACCTCTGGCTGCCTCTGTCCCCACTCGCTGTGGGGGACCCAGGACGTCACATTCGTTCAGGAAGAAGAGCGGGGAGCAGAGCCTAGAACGTCCGTTCTCCGCTCTGCTCCGCGTGAACACTGAGACCGAGGGGCTGCACTGGCAGCGTTCCCATCTCTGCTGTCACAGGAGAGCCAGGACAGTGCTGTGCTCAAACTCCTGTATTGGAAGTGATGGGTTAAATAAAGAGAAGCTGTCACCTGCAAATGCTATCACACTTGTTAGCTTCTGTGTGATAGCAATAGAGTTAAGTGGAAAAAAAATTCAAATAAAATAAATTGATAAAATATTAAATCCAGAGTCAGACTGCACGTTACCTCGTGTCTACACATGTTATGTACGTCTACCTGGGTTGTCAGGCTGACATAGTGCTATGTGTGTAGGAATGTGCAATTATAAGAAGGTCAATAGCTTTTCAGTCTGTCAAATCAGTTGACTGTAATTGTTGAGTAAAGATAATGTGCGCTGTTTTTGTGTACAGGGATACAGAGACGGCACATCTGTTACCTGTTAATTGCTGCCAAAATGATTGATCGCGGACATTTTTGATTGGAAGTGTATTCTATATCTGTATAAAGTGCAATAGAATTCTGCTATGTCCTGTGGCCATGTTGGAAGTGTAGAGTTATATATATAAAATGTAAAAGAAATGTAGGATCATGTCCAATGGTCGGCCATGCTGGGGGTTGTAGTTTTCTAAGTATAGAGTGTAATAGAATTGTATTATGATGGTGTCCAATGGTCGGTCATGATAGGTGTTGTAGTGTTCTATGTATAGAGTGGAATAGAATTGTATTATGGTCATGTACAGTGGTGGACATGTTGGGGGTTGTAGTGTTCTCTGTATGGAGTGTAATAGAATTGTATTATGATCATGTCCAATGGTCGGCCATGCTGGGGATTGTAGTTTTCCAAGTATAGAGTGTAATAGAATTGTATTATGATCATGTCCAGTGGTCAGTCATGATGGGTGTTGTAGTGTTCTATGTATAGAGTGGAATAGAATTGTATTATGGTCATGTACAGTGGTGGACATGTTGGGGGTTGTAGTGTTCTCTGTATAGAGTGTAATAGAATTGTATTATGATGGTGTCCAATGGTCGGTCATGTTGGGGGTTGTAGTGTTCTATGTATGGAGTGTAATAGAATTGTATTATGATCATGTCCAATGGTCAGTCATGTTGGGGGTTGTAGTGTTCTATGTATAGATGTAATAGAATTGTATTATGATCATGTCCAGTGGTCAGTCATGTTGAAGGTTGTAGTGTTCTATGTATAGAGTGTAATAGAATTGTATTATGGTCATGTACAGTGGTCGGTCATGTTGGGGGTTGTAGTGTTCTATGTATAGATGTAATAGAATTGTATTATGATCATGTCCAGTGGTCAGTCATGTTGAAGGTTGTAGTGTTCTATGTATAGAGTGTAATAGAATTGTATTATGGTCATGTACAGTGGTCGGTCATGTTGGGGGTTGTAGTGTTATCTGTATGGAGTGTAATAGAATTGTATTATGATCATGTCCAATGGTCGGCCATGCTGGGGATTGTAGTTTTCCAAGTATAGAGTGTAATAGAATTGTATTATGATCATGTCCAATGGTCGGCCATGCTGGGGATTGTAGTTTTCCAAGTATAGAGTGTAATAGAATTGTATTATGATCATGTCCAATGGTCGGCCATGCTGGGGATTGTAGTTTTCCAAGTATAGAGTGTAATAGAATTGTATTATGATCATGTCCAATGGTCGGCCATGCTGGGGATTGTAGTTTTCCAAGTATAGAGTGTAATAGAATTGTATTATGATCATGTCCAATGGTCGGCCATGCTGGGGATTGTAGTTTTCCAAGTATAGAGTGTAATAGAATTGTATTATGATCATGTCCAATGGTCGGCCATGCTGGGGATTGTAGTTTTCCAAGTATAGAGTGTAATAGAATTGTATTATGATCATGTCCAATGGTCGGCCATGCTGGGGATTGTAGTTTTCCAAGTATAGAGTGTAATAGAATTGTATTATGATCATGTCCAATGGTCGGCCATGCTGGGGATTGTAGTTTTCCAAGTATAGAGTGTAATAGAATTGTATTATGATCATGTCCAATGGTCGGCCATGCTGGGGATTGTAGTTTTCCAAGTATAGAGTGTAATAGAATTGTATTATGATCATGTCCAATGGTCGGCCATGCTGGGGATTGTAGTTTTCCAAGTATAGAGTGTAATAGAATTGTATTATGATCATGTCCAATGGTCGGCCATGCTGGGGATTGTAGTTTTCCAAGTATAGAGTGTAATAGAATTGTATTATGATCATGTCCAATGGTCGGCCATGCTGGGGATTGTAGTTTTCCAAGTATAGAGTGTAATAGAATTGTATTATGATCATGTCCAATGGTCGGCCATGCTGGGGATTGTAGTTTTCCAAGTATAGAGTGTAATAGAATTGTATTATGATCATGTCCAATGGTCGGCCATGCTGGGGATTGTAGTTTTCCAAGTATAGAGTGTAATAGAATTGTATTATGATCATGTCCAATGGTCGGCCATGCTGGGGATTGTAGTTTTCCAAGTATAGAGTGTAATAGAATTGTATTATGATCATGTCCAATGGTCGGCCATGCTGGGGATTGTAGTTTTCCAAGTATAGAGTGTAATAGAATTGTATTATGATCATGTCCAATGGTCGGCCATGCTGGGGATTGTAGTTTTCCAAGTATAGAGTGTAATAGAATTGTATTATGATCATGTCCAATGGTCGGCCATGCTGGGGATTGTAGTTTTCCAAGTATAGAGTGTAATAGAATTGTATTATGATCATGTCCAATGGTCGGCCATGCTGGGGATTGTAGTTTTCCAAGTATAGAGTGTAATAGAATTGTATTATGATCATGTCCAATGGTCGGCCATGCTGGGGATTGTAGTTTTCCAAGTATAGAGTGTAATAGAATTGTATTATGATCATGTCCAATGGTCGGCCATGCTGGGGATTGTAGTTTTCCAAGTATAGAGTGTAATAGAATTGTATTATGATCATGTCCAATGGTCGGCCATGCTGGGGATTGTAGTTTTCCAAGTATAGAGTGTAATAGAATTGTATTATGATCATGTCCAATGGTCGGCCATGCTGGGGATTGTAGTTTTCCAAGTATAGAGTGTAATAGAATTGTATTATGATCATGTCCAATGGTCGGCCATGCTGGGGATTGTAGTTTTCCAAGTATAGAGTGTAATAGAATTGTATTATGATCATGTCCAATGGTCGGCCATGCTGGGGATTGTAGTTTTCCAAGTATAGAGTGTAA